GTTGAACTAGCTGGCTTACCCGGCTCCGCCGTATGTTCCGAATAGAAAATTCCATTTCTTAACTAATCCGGACCAAACTTGGCACACATACACTTCGGGCCCCGGCGGGTGTCACAGTTCACTTTTCGTTATCGATCGATGTCGATTTTATCGATTTTTTGCAAAATTTGAGCTAGGGGGCTGAAATTTGGCAGAGGGGTGTAATCGAGCATGCTGATCACCCCCGTGGGGGTGATCAGCATGCTTGACCCGTATCTCCTTTTAGAGGGCACGTCAAAGGATTGGACCAACGCAGATCGAACACTCATGGGCCCCTCTTTACAACTATGCGCTAATTTGGGGGATGGATCTTGCCTGGACGCTGCCTTTAATTAGGTCACGAAGCCCCGTCTATCAAGCCAAGCCAGTTGAATCATGGTGAAAGTTTGTACAAAAATGGTAAAGTGACCTTTAACATAGTGTTTCAAGAGGGCCGGGCGGAGCCGGGTCTTCCAGCACTATCTAATATATAAGGAATCGTAACGCTAATATAAAAACATCAGATAGCGGAAAACCATACGGCGGTCCCGAAACGATTGCGCCTTTAAGGGACCCGTCGTACTTCGCCGAAGATAGCCCACGAGCGCCTGAAATAGCTCAAAAGCGCCAAAAAAGACCAGTGGCCGTATCCATCAACTAACCCATTGGGAGAACCAAATGGGTTCGCGAACCTACTGGGTAACGGTATTCAAAGCTGGGTTCGCCAACCCATGACGTCACCAGTGTGCCTCCTTAGTCTGTGTACTATTTTTCCCATCTCTCGACACACACGGATCGCGCTAAACTAAAAGCGCCAGCATGCTTGACACGAAACTTAGTAAACTGTGACACCCGCCGGGGCCCGAAGTGTATGTGTGCCAAGTTTGGTCCGGATCAGCTAAGAAATGGAATTCTCTATTCGGAACATACGGCGGAGCCGGGTAAGCCAGCTAGTTCAACATAAAGTTTCGTGTCAAGCATGCTGGCGCTTTTAGTTTAGCGCGATCCGTGTGTGTCGAGAGATGGGAAAAATAGTACACAGATTAAGGAGGCACACTGGTGACGTCATGGGTTGGCGAACCCAGCGGGGCACTTTGAATACCGTTACCCAGTAGGTTCGCGAACCCAATCGGTTCTCCCAATGGGTTAGTTGATGGATACGGCCACTGGTCTTTTTTGGCGCTTTTGAGCTATTTCAGGCGCTCGTGGGCTATCTTCGGCGAAGTACGACGGGTCCCTTAGAGGCGCGATCGTTTCGGGACCGCCGTATGATTTTCCGCTATCTGATGTTTTTATATTAGCGTTACGATTCCTTATATATTAGATAGTGCTGGAATACCCGGCTCCGCCCGGCCCTCTTGAAACACTATGTTAAAGGTCACTTTACCATTTTTGTACAAACTTTCACCATGATTCAACTGGCTTGGCTTGATAGACGGGGTTTCGTGACCTAATTAAAGGCAGCGTCCAGGCAAGATCCATCCACCCAAATTAGCGCATAGTTGTAAAGAGGGGCCCATGTGTGTCCGATCTGCGTTGGTCCAATCCTTTGACGTGCCCTCTAAAAGGAGATACGGGCATGTGATACGTATCACAAGCTGCCCCTTCATATCACAAACCACCCCTGAGAACGAGTGCTTACGCAGGTTTGCGGTTGCATTGCAGTTGCATTGGCAATGCAACTGCATCCGTGCAGTTGCAGCTCCTCCCGCTGGCATGACGATGGGGGACGAGCAATTCGAAACTCGTCCGCTCCTTGAAAAGAGGGTCCCCAAGAGCCGGGTTTTTTGGGAGTTTTGAACAATTTGGACTTTACAACTGTGATCAGGGCCACGGAAAGGCCCCAGAATGGCAGAAACATGAGAGGCGAAATTTTGCCCGGACGCTGCCTTTAAGGCTAGGTACTGATCAGAGAGCACTCGCGCGAGAGAGACGCATGTGCGTCGCAGGCGCGGGCGGCCTTAATTAAATCACAGAGCTCCGTCTTCCCGAGGCCAAGCCAGTTGGATCAAAGGTTACCTCTCTGACTCGCGGCCCCGCGTAATTAGCATACTCATTTACCCCCCCCCCTGTACAAACTTCCATCACGTAGGTCAAAGTTTAAAAAAATTGGATGGAAGTAGTGGATAATTCCAGAAACTGATTTTGTATTCGCAATCAGCATACTCGATTACCCCATGTGCCTACTCCCAGCCCCATGGTTTAAACTTTGCAAAAAAAATCGATAAAATCGACAAAAGTAACGGATAATTTCAAAAACTAGTAGTTTACTCGTAATCAGCATGCTCGATTACACCCTGTGTCAACTCCTAGCCTCGTAGGTCATGCTATGCAAAAAACGACAAAATCCGATAAAAGCAATATCGATCGATGACGAATGTAACCTACAACATCCGTCCCGCTCCGAAATGTATGCGTTCTAAGTTTGGTCCGGATCAGTTCAGAAATAAAAACTTCTATTCGAAACGTACGTATAGACAGATACACAGACACGCAGACAAATACAGTGACCGCCAGAATGTTGCGGACAAGCTGCCTTCCTTTTCTCATCGTTCATTCGGATGGAAAACAAAGATGAAAAAATGACTGAATTGCATGAGATGATAGAGCTCTCCAAGAGCTAGAACCCACACATTGCGCTTTTTAAAAAAATATGTATCTTAGAAATTTCAAAAACCTTTTCCTAAAAAAGAGTGAAAATGGCCGCCATGTCGCGGGCAATAATTCTCGAACGCGAAAATTTTCCTTTAGGCCTTTGTTTGAAGCAAAAACAGATGTTTTCCGGATAGAAAAACATACTATATTATAGAGCTCATCGAGAACAGTAATCAAGTAATGGTCACTTCCAAAAAAAACCAAGCTTGAATCTTATTTTGCTTTTTTTCAAAAAATAACTTTTAATTACCTTTTCAAGCCAAATTTCTTCACATGAACCTATTTAAAACATCCTAACAAAGCTGTTCAGATAAAATGGATGCTCGCTGTACTCTATGCATCGGACGTGTGCTGGTAAGTTTCTTTGCTGAAAATGGCTCTTGACAGTGCGTGCACATGACCCTATCTGCACCTCACCACTGACTTGCACCGCTTTGCAGACTTGTAACTTGGCCGGCAAACAACCTATGAGACTGAAGTAGTCTCATTCAATAGAGCATGCCTTCCTCGACGTGGCGGTATGCAAATGATTTGAATTGGGAATCCCGGAAGTTTTACGGGTGGAGTGGAAAGCTTCATTGATAGGCTAAGGATTTTTCAGCTAATTTTGAATAGAGCTCCTTTCGCTACCAGTTCCATCCTAGAAGTTTGAAACTGTCAACTTCCTTGTAATAGATCCGTTTTGAAGCTCTAAGACTGTGCTGATGATGATAAGAGCTTTCACCCCAATCACCTCTAAGGCTGCGCTTTTCACCCCCTCCGTAAAATCTCCGGGACTTCCCAAACTCAACTCATTTGCATACCATCGTATCATGGGAAGTCACGCTCTTTCGAATGAACCTACTCGCAGGCTCTGGAGACTACTGACCGAGTTACAAGTCTGCAAGGCGGTGCAAGTCAGTGGTGAGGTGCAGATAGGGTCACGTGCATGCACTGTCAAAAGCCATTTTCAGCAAAGAAACTCGCCAGCACACGTCCGATGCATAGAGTTTAGCGAGCATCCACTTTATCTGAACGGCTTTGTTAGGGTGTTTTGAATAGGTTTCCATTGAAGAAATTTGGCTTGAGCTGATTGAAGTTATTTTTTGAAAAAAGCAAAAAAAATAATTCAAGCTTGGTTTTTTTGGAAGTGACCACTACCTAATTACCGTCCTCGATGAGCTCTATAATATAGTATACTTATTTATCCTGAAAACATCTGTTTTTGTTCTAAACAAAGACCTAAAGAAAAGTTTTCGCATTCGAAAAATTATTGTCCGGGACATTGTGACATGGCCATTTTCGGACTTTTTTCAGAAGAAAAATTCTGATATTTTCAAAATACATGTTTTTCAGAAAGCGCAATTGTGGGTTGTAGCTCTTGAAGAGCTCTGTCATCTTATGTAACCAATCATTTTTCATCTTTGTTTTCCATCCGAAAATGAGCAATGAAAAAAGGAAGACGGCTCGTCCGCAACTTTTTGGCGGTCACTGTATACAAACAGACATTCAGCTTTATATACGAGAATTAGGTTAGAATAGATTAGATTAGATATAGATTTAGCAGCAAGATATTATGCGTTCTCAGCTCCACTGGATGTGCGTGCACACGGAATACAGATTCTTCCATTCGGCAAAAAATTTCTTCCATCAGAACTTTTGCGTACAGATTCATCGGGAGAATGTGATTCTCTTCCTTTAACAAGAAAGAGTAAGAGTAAATCTAGAACCCGCGAGAGTCCGCAGGACAACTGGAGCCTTCTAAAGGTAAGACGAAAGAATTCCTTTGTTTGATAAAAAAAAATCATCAAAAATCAACAAAAACTTTGGCAAAAGGTTATTTCCTCCCTGGAGAAAGAGGTAAGACATTCTTGGATTTTGATGGAAGAGTCTCGAAGCTTTCCAGAACAGAGCAAACTTGGGTTCCACCGGTATGGAGGACTCATGAATTCTCAGGGTATGACAACTGTCAGAAAATACGCTCGTTCGACAAATAATTCCCACAATTTCTTAGCAAACATCTCCGTTGAGGAGAGTTTAGCTTCCAATTTGATTAGCAGACAAGCCCTCATTGAAGGGTAGTGCCCTCCAATAGATGCTTCTTAGCACATTTACATTCTTCTCCGGAAAGGAAAGCGCATGGAGGAATTCGCGTCTTGCTAATACATAGAAAATGTTCACCCCTTTCCAGATTAAAGCACTATTTTAGGGAGTTCTTTTTTTGCAGAATACTTCAATCTCAAATGAAAAGCCTGATCTCGTCTAAAAAATAGGGACCTCAAACCCTTTGTACCGAGAAACTGTTCCATCAACGCTGCGGTTTCCATTGAAAATAATTGTTTTGACACCTGATCATCGTCACTGGTTACACTTCGTTTTCTGTTGGAGGTTCGAACGCGTTGTTGAATAACTGATATGACAGAAGGGAGATCATTTAGGACAGCGTACCTAAACATGACGATGTATATCTCCATCACCTAAATAAAGACTCATACCTAATGAGCTGCGACTGTTGTGCACAATTCGTATGTATAGTACTGTGTCGTTTATTTTCAGCTTTCAACTCCTTTTCAAGATCAGCAATCAATGCAGCTCGCCAGGCTTCGCTATTTTTACCATATTTCCATCTTTTTCGCTGGATTGGGTTTATGGTTTTCATTGCTACAAGAAGAAGCATAAACAGAACTGGACTCGCCACAAAGAAAGCACTATTGCAACTCTTTTATTAACACATCCACGACAAGGCCGATTTTTCGATAACTCCGTTTCGGACCAAAGCCATTTGCGCTTTGTCAAACTTACGATCCACTCGTGGGTCGTATTGTCCTTAATAGATAGTCTTTTAGAAAAAAATTTAGAAAATGCCTCCGAAAATTTCCCCACAAAGGTTATCGAAGGCGCTGATTATCAAAATATGATTTATTCAGTTTTTGGCATCATACGGTGGGGTTACAGTAGTCATTCTGTACAAACCTAACATCATAGACTCTCATGAAAAATTGTGTTTGGGGTTATTTCACGTGCTGATTACGAATATAGTGCCCACTTTGTTCACTTCTTTCCCACAGTGAGACTATGGTAGCAGTACGATAAAATTTTCGTAGAAATCAAGTTGATGTAAGAAGGCGATATCAGAACTGAGGCTATCATTTTGATCAGCATGCTGCAAAAACCTATACATGTAAGGTTTTAGCTGAAATGAACAATGCAAAAGACCAATAAAGTCGATAAAACCGATGATTTTGATGGGCTAACATCAGTCTCGTGCCCCGCCCTACTCCCGTACATGTAAACCTGAATTTTCAAATACAGCACCACTCTGCGAAAAATTTGAGCTGAAAGGTGTCCCTTATCTCTATCTACGGTGTATCTACCGTAACACTACATTACAGTATCCCGAGCCTGGACCACTCTGGCTGGAGATTCGCCAAGGTGTCTCCAATCATGTGCCACAATTCTGTAGAAATCCACCGTAAAATGGCAAAGCTGGAGCTTCAGGAATCTTACGACCCACCAGTGGGTCGTATTGTCCGAAACAGCAGAACACGTACGACCCATCGGTGGGTCGTATTGACGTGAATGTGTTAAAGGCACCGTCCACCCAAGTCCTCGATATTGAGTTTTTGTCCTCTTTAGCACCTCTTCCGCACGCTGAGTCCAAATCCAGGTCTAAAATTGAACAAAAGGCTCAAATTATTGAATTTTGGATGTTCTTCAGAATCCGCAGTAGACGAGCACTCCTTGCGCAGGCGGTCAGCCGCGGGCAAGTCGCGGGTCCATTGCAGGTCAGAGATGCCGAGGAACGTTGTGTCTGATCGATTTTTTGATCTTTGCGCGTGCTAGGCGAAATCGCTGAGTGGGCGGGAAGAATGTACCGCCCACTCGCTAGGGAGAAGCCAACGTGGCGAATCCGTCTTCCGAAGGATTTTCGATGCGATTTTTTTTTGCTTTGGAAGCAACCTCGCCACTGTTAGACATCAAAACCTCATAGACTCTAATTTGTACGGACGGTGCCTTTAACTTACTAATTGTACGAAAAGCTTGAGTTACACAATAGCGCAAAATACAATAGTTCAATACCTTTTTCAGCGTTTTCCACAGCCGAAGATAATATAGACAAGTGACGACAACATGCATGTTGCAAATTCGGCGGTAGTCCGCGAAGAATGTTTCGTTGCGCAAGCACCTGAAACTTCATCTTATATCAGCTGCAATAAGCCATAACCACGGATGCGCGCAGATAACTTAGAACTTCAACCAACTAGTCCGGAGTAAGATTTACTTCGACTTCTCTGAACAACGCTCACCACTCCCGCTAAGAATGTGCTTTTTCAATTGCTTGAATGCAGCCGAGTACCATCGGCTCCCCGACTGCCGCGAGGGCGGACACGGGCGAGCGTATCAGCAATGCGGTTGCCCTGTGTTGAAATACAGCTGATAAATTGATTATCGGTTGACCATCGCGACCGCCCTCGCAGCAATCGGGGAGCCGATGGTACATTTCTCGCTCAAGATCGTGTGCTTAGGTGGCAGCATGTGGTAAAATTTGCGCTGAACAAGTAGCCGCGCCTGTAATGCCGGCATTTTGCGCGCAAGTGGCCGACACCACAGGCGTAGCTATTCGTTCACACATACAGTCGAGTAGATTTCCTGCTTAATATAGTGCCCTTGCAGACGCGACAACGCTGGGGCGTCAGTAATTGCCTGACGAGTTCCCGAGCTAGTGTTTTCCAGTGTTTTCTTTGCTTATTCTATGCTTTTTCAGGTGATTCGTTGCTGATAAAGAAGAAAAGGGTAAGTTAGAGAGTAGTTTATGTTTTCCGAGAAGTTCTATCATCGCATATTCATAGATATCCACGTGGAAGCAGTTCGCGTCAGCTTCTTGTCTATTTTTTTGTCACTTCATGTCTCTTTCTTCTTGTGAGGTACTTCTTTGAACGCTAGTGGGTTTTTACGATTGACTTATTGTCTTTATCACATGAAGTACTTGATTGAAATGCTATCTCTTATGGAAGAAAGCCGAAGTTGCTGCAAGACAAGCCAACAGCGTTCAAAGAAACGCCTCACAAGAAGGAGAAGGAGAAAAAGTGACAGAAGAAAGGGAAATGACAAAAAAAATAGACAAGAAGCTGACGCGAAATGCTTCCACGTGGATATCTGTGAATATGCGATGATAGGACTTCCCAGAAAACAGAAACTACTCTTTAACTTACCCTTTTCCTCTTTATCAGCAACGAATTGACTAAAAAGCATGAAATAAGCAAAGAAAACACTGGAAAACACTAGCTCGGGAACTCGCAAGGTATTTATTGACGCCCCAGCGTTGTCGCGTCTGCAGGGACACTATATTAAGCAGGAAATCTACTCGACTGTAGGTTACCGCATTTTCTTGGCACCGAAGCAAATTGTATCAAGAAAATCTAACCGACTATAAAATCTTCAAGTACTGACGATTCAAGCATGTCCCTGTTTTCAGCGCCGCTTGCGTGAAAACAACTGTTTCAATGATTTCTTGGGTCAATGCTCAAGCATTGTAAATGCCAAACAAAGTCATAACTTTGCAAAATCGAAGTCCGTGTTTGTCAAACCTATCCGCATAATCAGAATAAAGGCAGATAAACTTGGCAGAGAGTAGTCAATACAAGTTTTCTTCCCTTTTCCGCCAACTATGTATTCGCAGTGATACGACATGTGCTGTGATTCATAAGAGATCCTCGCCCATCATTTTTGCCTTATCTGATTCTAGTCTGATTTCTAGAATTTTTGTGACTTTTAAAGAAGCTTGCCTGGTGAATAGGACAAATCTTTGCAAGCAATCCTTGGCACTTCTGTAGCTTCGCGAATACAAGTGCTGGAGTGACCAAACTTCAAATTTAACCTCAAGCAAAAGTAAAGCGTCAGCTGACTATGTTTCAAGTCTCTGTTCGTTTCTACTTAGCAAACCTTCCTTTTGCCAAAAGGCTGCTTGGACAAGGCAAAACAGTATGCATGCTAGGCTGCATGCAATTCGAATCCTGGTTTCTGAAGCTTTCGAAGTGAATTCAAACCATTTGAGAGAATTAGGTTAATGCATGATGTCCGTAGCTTGTAGCTACATGATAATAGAACTGATTTTCCTCGAAAACTAAAGCACATACCGACCTATAATTTCACAGACTTGCTCTCGAAGGCTTGCAGTATATGATACATAGGTTGGGGAAAATTTGCACTGCTAGGAGTGGAGTTTGTCGTTATACGTTTGTTTGTTTTTTCATATAAGCGCAAGAAAAATACAGCAAGTGCATATGCGAATGTACTATGTATCTGCTATGTGATATTCAGTTGGGGAAGTTTGTAGTTTTCCGGGCAAAAATCCGATTTTTGGCGTGGTCAAAAGCTCAGAGGTTTTGGCATCAATTTGAATAAATCAGAAATTCAGGTACATCTTTGGTAGCCATTTTGTAGATCTTGCTCCATCTTATTGAATGATGTCCCTCCCATAAGTGAATTCTTGCATTCACATGCCTTGGTCGCAGTGGCTACGGACGTTAATTTTGCAACAACCTAATAGTAAAATGAATAGATGAACAAGGTCAGATAATATTCAGATAAACAAAATTCTTCATATCTTGCTTTTCAACTGCTGAAAGAACACGATCTACATATATTTCCCGTGTTCTAAGCTCATGAACGATTTATCGAATGCTGGTGCTCGGAGCTTTCCCGCTCCAAAAAAAAAGCCAAGCCATTTGAGGAGCAAGATATCTCCACCTCATTTTTTTGGGAACTACAAGCTTTTTAATTTAACTTCTATATACCACTAGCTGGCATACCCGGCTCCGCCCGGCCCTGTCAATACAGTGTGATATTGTTTCTAAATTTTGAAAATAAACGTTTCTAAATTTTTGCACATTTCCCAGGCCCTGTCCCCACTATTCATTATGTTTTTGTAATTAGCATACCGTCTAAGCTCCTGCCCAATTCCGTGGCCCAAACTTTGCAAAAAGTCGATAAAGTCGATAAAGGGACCGACGATTTGAAAAACTAATCTTGTTTAATCAGCATGCTCACTTACCCCCTCCCCCCTGTACAAACTTCCGGGACGAAGGCCGCCAGTTTGGGCCGCCTCCGCGGAGACTACTGGTTCCTGAACGACATCCATCAACAGGAAAGGACCAGTTGGCCGCGAAAGGCTGTTCAAACTGGCGGCCTTCGCTCCCCTACCCCAAGCTCTCACAAGGAAGCGATACTCGGTGTCCGTAGCCTTTTGAGATGAGGTGTATACCATTACACTCGTCTTGGAACACTAATTCCGAATCTGACTTCTGTTTCTGCTAATCGCTTCAAAGATTTTATAATGGATCGCGCGGATTCTGGCTGCCCAGTGAAATATGGTCGGAGCGCCACCGCTACCGGTGCACTGTTGTCCAGCGGTTAGTGCGATAGCCTCATACCTTCGATACATAGAGCCATGTACTCTGGTAACCTTCACTTTGAGCGCCATGATAGAACACAACCTTCACCTGGGGAGAAGTATAGAAGTCATCCGGGGCGAAGCCCCGGAAATTATGACATAACTAATGACATAACCGTATAGGGATGAATTTAAATGAGGATAGCAGTGACATTCAAAAGAAGCTCAAAAAAAAACCGAAGGATTGCGTTTTTATGGCCTTTTTTGTTGAGAAGAAGGTTTTTATTTAAAAATTTTATCAAAAACTAGGGCAAAATTTCTCAGTTAACCTTTCTCTGAACTGCGGTTGAATGTTGGAAGTTCATTAAAGCCGCTAAAGTTCAATAAAAACGAAAAACTGCGCTCAAATCTTGCGCAAAGAGTCGCCATATGAATGCTGGTCTATCTCGTTATGGAGTGATTTTCAAGACCCGCGACGTTGTCAGTGCTCCTGGCCGTCTCATGAGGATCACAACGATATATAATTTTGCAGGGTTTCGCTGAGACCCTGCGAAGATCCACGACCAGAGCCAAATGCCCCGTCGGCTCTGGTCTGTCTCCGCTGCTCGTCTGCGTCTCCGCGCGCTGCGCGCTACCTCGCTACCTCAAATGCGGGGCGCGGGGCATTTGGCTCTGGTACCCTTTTCTTCGTTGTTCGGAGTCCAATTTCGATAATCTATATATCATATTAAAGCTCTTGATCTCTATTTTCACGCTGACAACGTCGCGGAACTTCTTTTTAGGATTTAAACGAGAAATCCTCGAAAAACGGCGTTTTCGAAAACCTCTTGTTTTTTCTTCAGTTTAACTTTTTTCACTCGGTTCTTTTGTGTATTCGATAGGTCTTGTTTCTGTCTATGATGTAGACAACGTCGCCGAGCTTACTTCTTTGCTTATGCCGGTTTTTTTTGTGAAAAATACAAAAAAGTGCGTTTTTCTTTACCTTGTTCTCTTTCTGTGCTTTTGCAGCGAATTTTTTCCAGCTTGGATGATACTTGCTCAGGATGATGAGCGGAAGAATCCAGACAACGTCGCAGCGTACGAAACGACTATGCGGGGGTGAAAATTTATAGGACGCATCAAAAATCAAATTGGCGTCGATGTGCAACACAACTTTACAAACATGTTTAACATGTTCAATTCAGTTGTTGACAAGTTCTTCTTTCGGTACTAACGCCACAGCTAAACAGCGCTTTTTTTGACTGGAAAAGAACTTTGTTGTTGTTGCCACTCAATTTTACCGGCAATCCTGGAGACGAAACTCTGCGTAGGAAACCACCAAGTTAAGGTTTCAGATTTGGTGATGTGCTAATCTCTGCTTTATATGAATTTTCTAAGTTTTCTAATTTAATTTGTATCTCTAAATTTTCGTCTATTTTTCTGAAACAACCTTCACTTTCTATAGGGGGCAAGAACTCAAACAACTATCACTTTCTAGCCCTTGTCTCTTGACTATCGAAGGTATGGATAGCCTCATAAGTTGATACAGGTGCAGGTTCGAATACCTTTGTGTTTTTCAGTTTTGCATTACCTCAATTAACCTTCTTTAGCATCATCGAGCTAAGTGAACCCCCTTACTCTTCAAAAAATGTGGAAATTTGGAAGAAATGATTACTTGCGCTAAACTGTATCCAATGATCATAGTTCAAGTAAATTTTCTCGAACATGCTTAATTGAGGTAATGCAAAGGCAAAAACACAAAAGGATTTGAACCTACACCTGCATCAACATATAAGGCTATCGCACTAACCACTAGACCAGAAGGTGGCCGCGGTAGAGGCCGTTCCAATGACCATATTTCCCTTGAGCAGCCAAACTGGCTCGAAATTCCCCCATAACTTCTTTCAGAGAAACGATTAGCAGAAACGGAAGGCAAATTCGGAATCAGCGTTCGAAGACGAGTGTAATGGTGTGAACCACGTTTTGAAAGGCCACGGACATTGAGTATCGTTCCCTTGTTAGTCCCATAGCTTAAAGTTTGCAAAATCAAAAAAAATAGATAAAGGTAATGGATAGTTTCAAACTGATTATTTTATTCGTAATCAGCATGCTCAATTACCCCCCTAGTGCCATCTCCCAGTCTCGTAGTTCAAAGTTCGCAAAAAATCAATAAAATCGATATCGATCGGAATAGAGCAAAGAGCCTACAACATCTGCCCCCCCCCCCCAAGTATATGTGCGCAATCGTAGTAACTGTGAAAGAATAGATAGACAGTAAAGAGTAAGAGTTATTCTATTTTCAACAACTTGCTTTCTAACAAAATGTAAGGGACTCCAAAAACTGAAACGACTTTAGAAACTGTAAAGACCAAGTTGTATTGTAGTTTGACATGCAAAGAAGAGATGAGTAGCGCAATGACTCTGACAATAATGAGCTTCATTTTTTTGCTGCTTTGCTGCTAAGCGGCTACTCGCTCTGCTCATCACATTGCTTGAAGCTGGCTTCGGATACAACAGGAGTTCTTCTAATTTTGGAGATATTCCTTTCTCACTATGACTAAGTAAGTAGATGCTTACATCAGTTAAAACAGGCGCTTAGATATTCTCAAAACTTTTTGTCAATGCAAAAAATTCTTGCTCATCTCATGAGTCTCGACTCTACTATCGCTCATACATCTGATAAAGGAAGTATTGATCGTAACTGTAAAGCATTTTTTTGCACAAAACACCCACTACGGTACACTACGGTACTGATCACTTGCGCATTAAACTCGCTCGCTGCATATTTATAGTGCTCATGGACACAATATCAAGACTTACATCAAGAACACTTTTCAGTGCACTTCAGCAACAGAGGTTCAAAATGAGGATGCTGGTCATGTTTACATATTTCTGTAGAGCTGGTCTGATAGCAAATGATATGAGTTCATTGTCATTGCTAAGTGCTAAAAATCAATAAATCGATAGAAGAAGTCAGCGAATTTTAGTAAAAAGTATCCTAAAACCGTCACCGGGTCAAAAACACCAGTATGCAAAGTTTCAGTCTAATCGCTTGAGAAGCGCGCGTTTCTATAGCTCACATGCCCTCCAAAAAGACAATTTTTGAGTTTTATATATATAGAGCTTAATGACATAGACCGCTCCTATCAAGAATTACATCAATTTAGCTCAAAATTCGTGACTTTGTCAGGGAAACCCAATGATGCCTAATCATCTACGTGCCTCACAGAGCAACACTAGAGCGATAAACGTAGACCAAGTGGACCGTCTTTTCTTCAGCATTCCCCTTTACGAAAACGAAACGAGCGGTCGCACGATATCGTTGCTATTGTGACAGATAAGATACCCCTTATCTCAATTCCCAAGAGAGCTGGAAAAAAGGAGACGGTCTGCATCGACTCCATAAGTTCCTGATCCTCATTTAGGATGATATATCAACCGATGGGATATAAATTTTCCTGCAACAATAAACTTCGATACATTTCAGAATCAAAGTTGAAGAAATCACAGCATTATGCACTGAACCTCCCTTTTCACTCCCGCTTCCACCCCCTCGCGAAGGTCTGGTCGGCATCTGGCGCAATATTTAACAATCTCCCACTCACTGTGCGGGCTATTAACGACAGCCCGCACAGGCGAGAGCGCCCTTCCCGCGATTCATGAAAGTCTGGGAAGCGCGGCCCAAACGGGCAGCGCCGCCCGACTCGTCCAGACGGGGAACTGCAGCCCGACTGCTGTATCGTACTCAACTAGATACAGTCGGGCAAGAGCCCGATCTCGACAGGTCGGGCTCCGCTGCCCGACTGCGTTGCCCGACATGGCCAAACTTGCCAGATCGGACCATATTCTCCAATAGACACGAGTCCGGTCACCAGCTTGGCTTCATATATCCCATGGGGGGGTATTTAACAATCTTCTATGGGAAGGGTTCTCTATACAGGTCACAGCCCCTGCAGGCGCGGGCAGTAGCGCCTGCGAATATGAAGTGAAGCCAAGCTGGTGATCGGACTCGTGTCTATTAGAGGATATGGTCCGATCTGGCAAGTTTGACCATGTCGAGCACCGCAGCGAAGCCCGACCTGTCGAGATTGGCTCTGCTGCCCGACTGTATCTAGTTGAGCTACGATAGTGCGATTATGTATAATACCAGTGCGTCACCTCTGCTCCGCAGAGGCCCGCACTGGCCCTACTTTCTCTATATCTTACTCATTCCCACATAATAATGACATTGAAACTCACCGCGCTATGCAGGCTATCACGAATAATTTGTAAACATCACTCATTTCAAACGCTTTTCCATATGAGGTCGGTAATTTCGCGTGGATAAAACTTTTCCCAAGAGAACAAATGAAAATTTGATTCGGTTTTTGGACTTCTTATGGCTTGATGTTCACCATAAGGTGCAACAATCACCGTTGGCTACAACTGTGCAAAATTCCTCTCAAATGATCGGGTGAAATCTTAGCAAATTAACCATTCACGTAATCTATTCTTTTTGACGCCGTTTTCGCAAAGTAATAAACTTTAGTTCACTTATTTAGGCTTAAGTCCATGGCTTGCACATTAACTTGTCAAACATATCAGTGGCTTTGCAAAAAGTTGTGCTACAGGATCAATTTGACTGGCCAAAAGCCAAGTGGATCCGATTCACGCGCATTTTTCGAGGGATCCACCCAAGGGATCCGCTCGTGCATTTGTATATTGGACTCTCATGTTGGCAGCATCCGCTGTGCAAAATTTGGGCTCAGAAGGTTGGCTGGAACTCGCTCTACGAATTTCGTGACAGACAGACGTACACACAGACACACAGACAAACAGACGTAAACAACCCTTAGCCCGTTATTATTAAGTCATAGATCATTTAGTGAACGAGCATGTGGACTAAAATTCGAATGAGGGAGTTCCATATTACGGAAATTTCCCGAGTTGTTGAGCTTGATGTTCGCCATATCAAGGTCCTTAGTTAGACATTTACTTTATTCAGAACTAAATCTCTTATATATCAATTCGGAAGAGTATGATACCATGATAACATCAAGCGACACGTAAAGAGGCCATAGGAAGTTTGAGATATAGTAACCCGTATGTGTTTATCGTCAAAAAGTATCGCTAGGACTGAAGAAGGAATCGAGAGGTCACTTGATGTTTGTAAGGCGGGGCTAGCTGACGTCCCCAACGAAATACACGTGTATCGATCGAAATGCTGGCGTAGCGCTGGCATAACTTCGGCACTCTGGCGGGAGCCTAAGAAGTGTCAGGGTGAATCTAATCTTGCTCCGTGTTAGGGTTAAATCTACACTGATGAGCCACGTTCGTGAATACGGGTTAATCGCTCTTTGGGGTAAGGTATACCCTCGAAGGCGGGATTCACAGTCAACTTTCGCTAATCGATACTCGCTCGGGTTAATCGCTTTCCGGGGTGAACCCTATCCTATCCTCAAAGATTCGTTATAAATACGGCCAATGAACCCTGAAGGTAAAACTACCCTTAAAGGTAGGATTTACCTCAGGGTTCGTTGGTGAATGCGGCCACTGGGCAGGGTAACCATCATCAAATCTGCTCCTTTCGAAGTAGATTTCTTGCTTCGCAAACAACCTTTCGCAGCGCAACTTGGTTGCCCCAATCTAAAGGCCCACGGCCGTATAACATTAAAACTTATCTTTCTCTACTTTGAGTGAACGGTGCCCTTGGCGGCAATGTCCGGACAAGGTGAGGGTCCTAGGATTTCGGTGCCGTGGGAAAGTGGGCCCCCTCGGACACGCCATCGCGCAAGTGCGAGGCCATAACGTTTGACCACAACCAAGAAATCTGATCGAGAAGCTGGGAAACTAACGCATGGGACGGAGCTCTCCTCTTGTTTTAATCCCTGCATGCACTGCGGCAGCATAGATGGAGACCCCGCCTCAGCATGCCGCCACAGTTGAAGTGGTAGGGTTCCGCAGCGACTCTGCGTCTTACCCCTGAGGGCAACTGTTCTATTTCGAAATGTAAGGCTTGAAGAACGCATGTTCTCAACGTTCTTGTCCTTTCTAATGTGGATTCTCGGCTTCAGCATTGCAGATAAACCCAGGTAAGCGAATATTCCAGAAATCGATTTCTTGCCCAGACAATTCAAAGATCCGACACACGACAGCCTACGTAGCTTGCTTTGTATTTATTTCTCCGAGAAACTCCTCGATCGTCTTTTCATTCGCTTTATGCAAAATGATATTTTACTCCTTCCATAAGAAATACTGTACGCTAAGCAATCGTAAACGTAACTCAAGAACTGCAAAGCAAATGAGCTTCACCTGCGCGGACGATAGCCGAAACATCCACCACTTTTGAGGCCCTGGAACGCGTTCTGTAAGTTATTATCAGATAAGTGGGATATTAACTACTCTAAGAACTTTACTTCTAGATAGGAAACAAGATCCTCGGACATTGCAGTTTGACAGAGTTTTTCTTTCGATGTGAGCACTGATTGGGCATGCACACCACTGGATAACCGAAAGTAGTCTTTAAAAAATTACCGTAAGCGGGGTCTATCCCATTACTTGTGACTGTCAATTACGCAGGTGCCGCGCACGAGAGGCTGGCAGTAATCAGTTGCGAGGAGAGCTCGGCTGACTCGCAAGGCATACTATTCCATCTTTTGTGAATGTTTTCACACTACCATATCAAATTTTACTGTTTAATGGAATTTTTGGCCCTAAACCTAAAAATGAAATAGATAGTGAATGGAATTATGGAAATCATTCATTTGATGATAGAATATATACTTTTTGTTCACAATACTAACGTGACCCCTAAGCATTTCCTCTGAGACATTCTCTGGCCCTGCTGGGGGGGGGGGGGGGGGAGGGGAGGGGGGGAGGGCATTACTTATGGGTGTCAATTAAAGTTTGCCACAAAGCGGCGTTACAGTAATTGAGCGAGCGACAGCAGGGCCAGAGGAAATGTCTTACAGGAAACGTTTAAGGAATAGGTTATTTTATGAGCAGGAAGTACACATTTCGTGAACAGGAAGAAATTAATTTCCATATTTGATGATGACTGATGCTGTCTACTTTTTATACACGTTGGCTTCCTTTATCCTTACATCTCATACTCTCTCATCTCTATTGTAATACATTTACTCGTGGGTACTTAATGTGCATTTTGTAAATAAATAAATAAATAAATACTTCCCTCCACTATCTTTCATTATCTTACAGATTTTGTGGCCACACTTTCTCTAAGCAGTAAAAATTGATATGAAAGTATGAAAACCTTTATAAAAGGAACGAATGAGAATGCGAATGAGCTAACCAGTTTTCTGTGGATCTGATTCAGAGGTGCGATGGGGGGAGCCGGGCCCACCAAAAGTGAAGGTGGTCCCAGCTACCACTGGCCGGCCAAAAGTGAAGGTGGTAGTGCCGGACACTCACCTCCCAAAAACATCGACCGAGGGGGGGGGGGAAGGGAGGGGAGGGGGGTGGGAGCAATAGTCTATCCTTTCAGGTCGTTGCCGCCGGTGCGCGAAAAATAAGCAAAACAAGTGCGAAAGGAATTATCGAAAGGTCATAAATACCTAAAATAAACGTGCTTATCAAATAGTGTATTTGGAAGTAAAACTCAGTGAAACTGTACGTATCCTATGAGTGAATTTTGTTATAATGTACAGCGAAGAAAATAGATCGATCCAGGCAGTAATGGCCGAGAACCAGAATTTTGTATAATTAAATGGTGAAAAATCATGCAAAATTTCCACTGTTATAAATCTGTTGTTTGAAGATGTCGGCAGTTGCGACTTCATAGGTTTTGTAGAGTAAAGTTCTCGGCGGCTTAAAGTTTACCTTATCAGAACATATCTTAGCCGTACCATTCCATTGAAACAGCGCCGAGATCCAAAGTCTTCAAAAAGCAGGTAAAAAAGCGCTTTTTGTCAACAGCTCATAACTTCTTAAGAACTGCTTGAATCATGTTGCAACTTCGTATGTTAGAATCTTCTCATCAAGGGCTTTCAGCTGACATATAATATGTGGGGGTTTGGGGCCTCCTAGAATTATGCCCTGAGGGGGGGGGAGACTTTTCATCACAAAGTCTTCCCTGGCGGCCTTCCTCCAATACATTGTGGGCTGGGAGCAGTGGTGCGATAGGAAGAGCCGATTCTCCCCCTACCTTCACTTTTGAGCTGGTAATGGGTGACCACCTTCACTTTTGGAATAGAAATTTTTTTCGCTGGACGATAAAGAAGGAAAATAAGCAAAACAAATGCAAAAGAGATCATTGAAAGCATATTTTTATGTATACAGCGTCATAAATATCTAAAATAAACGTGCTTCTCAAATAGTGTATTTGGAAGTAAAACCCAGCGGAACTGTACGTATTTTATTAACTAAATCTTGTTATAATGTACAGCGAAGAAAGTAGATCAATCCAGGCAGTAACGGCCGAGAACCAGAATTTTGAATAATTAAATAGTGAAAAATCATGCGAAATTTGCACTGTTTAAATCTGTTGTTTGAAGATGTCAGCAGTTGCGACCTCATAGGTTTTGAAGAGTAAATGGTGCTCTATCAGCTAGTGAAGGAATCGAGTCGATTTGAGTGATAGTCGTCGAAAACCAGAATTCTAAAAACTTACGCCATTTTGCGTGTTTTTTGACAGCTGACAGTTAAACTCATATAGATCTTGAAGGTCAAAGTACATGATGTACCCTTGGGGATGATCAGCATGCTCGATTACCCCCCTGTGCCAACTCCCAGCCCCGTAGCTCAAACTTTGCAAAAAAGTCGATAAAATCGATAAAAGTAATCGATAATCCCGAAAACCAATATTGTATTCGGAATCCCCATGCTCGATTACCCCCCTGTGCCAACTCCCAGCCCCCTAGCTCAAACTTTGCAAAAAAAATCGATAAAATCGATAAAAGTAATCGATAATCCCGAAAACCAATATTGTATTCGGAATCCCCATGCTCGATTACCTCCTGTGCGAACTCCCAGCCCCGTAGCTCAAACTTTGCAAAAAAATCGATAAAATCGATAAAAGTAATCGATAGTCCTGAAAACCAATATTGTATTCGGAATCCCCATGCTCGATTACCCCCCTGTGCCAACTCCCAGCCCCGTAGGTGAACTCAGCAAAAAAATCGATAAAAATCGATAAAATCGATATCGATCGATGACGAAAAGTAGCCTATGACACGCGCCGGGGCCCGAAGTGTATGTGTGCCAAGTTTGGTCCGTATCGGTTCAGAAATGGAATTTTCCATTCGGAACATACGTACATACATACAGACATACAGACATACAGACAAACAGACATTCAGCTTTATATATAAGATGTGGGGGTTTGGAACCTCCTACGAATTATGCCCTAGGGGGGAGCTTTCACCACAAGGTCTGCCCTGGCGGCCTTGCTCCAATACATTAAAGTGGGCTGGGGGGAGACTTTGTGATGAAAAGTCTCCCCTCTCCCAGGACATAATTCGTAGGAGGCCCCAGACCCCCACGTATTATGTATCATCTGAAAGCTCTTCATGAGAAGAATCTAACATATGAAGTTGCAACATGATTCATGCAGTTCTGAAGAAGTTATGAGCTGTTGAAATTCAAAAAGCGCTTTCGTACCTGCTTTTTCAAGACTTTGGATCTTGGCGCTGTTTCAATGGATTGGTACGGCTAAGATATATTCTGATAAGGCGAGCCATACAAAACCTATGAAGTCGCAACATCATGTACTTTGACCTTCAAGATCTATATGAGTTTAACTGTCAGCTGTCAAAAAACACGCAAAAATGGCGTACATTTTTAGAATTCAGGTTTTCGGCAAACATCTCTCAAATCGACTCGACTCCTTCACCGTCTGATAGAGCACCACTTACTCTTCATCTATGAAGTCGCAACTGCTGACACCTTCAAACACCAGATTTATAACAGTGGAAATTCCGCATAATTTTTCACTATTTAATTATTCAAAAATCTGGTTCTCGGCCACTGCTGCCTGGATCGATCTACTTTCTTCGCTGTACATTATAACAAGATTTAGTTAATAGAATACGTACAGTTCCGCTGAGTTTTACTTCCAAATACGCTATTTGATAAGCACGTTTATTTTAGATATTTATGACGCTGTATACAAAAAAAAAGCTTTCAATGATCCCTTTTGCATTTGTTTTGCTTATTTTCCTTCTTTATCGTCCAGCGGAAAAAATTTTTATTCCAAAAGTGAAGGTGGTCACCCTGTACCAGCTCAAAAATGAAGGTAGGGGGAGAATCGGCTCCCACTATCGCACCTCTGATCTGATTACTGCCAGCTTGTTGCGCGCAGCGTCTGCATAACTGACAGTCACAAGTAATGGGATACACCCGCCCTGCTGCCTCTCGCCTGGGTTATTGTAACGCCCGTCGCGGCAATTTCAACTGACCCCCACAAGTAAAGGGCGCCCTCCAATAAGCGAAATCATAATCAATGTTTTTTTGAAAATCCAGCAAAAATTCGAAAGTACAGGATTATGTCCTAACCCAGATCTCCGACTTCTGTGAACGTTACGAAACCCCACATGCTTCAGTTTATAGAATGCACAAATTTATCGTTCATTCTCTGACCAGGAGATACGAGCACGCTTTGCGCACGTTTGATTAACAAGCTTGAGTGTGTTTTAAACGCGCTCTGATTACTGTTAGGAATTCAAGAAAGAACAAGCTCAAACAAACATTGCTTAACAAGCTCAAACATGTTCTTTCACGAATTCATTGTAGTAATTTACCAAAACGCGTTGAAACGCACTCAAACTGTCAATCAAATGTACGCAACGTGCTACTGTCTCTTAGGGCCGCATGCACTAGCATCCCCGCCGGGGAGGGGATCGCAGCTTAGAAAGAAAGCTTCATATCCTGAAGCTCCAGATATCTGCATTTCACGCTGTCTCATCCGTAAGTATTCTTACCTACCTTCACTATGAACATATTGAACAGGAGCGAGAAGCCCTACAAGCCGCATTTTCAGCAGTTTGTATGATTCCATGATGATCCCCAGCGGCAAATCGTCTTTTCTTCAAAGTCACTTTTCTGTCTTCGAAGTTAACGAAAATCTTCCAAAGTTGTACTGAACACTTAACACAACAGTGCTGATTGAACAGATGAGTTTTTGAAAAATCGAATTTTTCGATACAACATTCGACCTTTGGTTCAAGATTTCCTGAATGACTCCAATACATCATTTTTTTCTTATCAACAACATGCTTAGCACTATTGGGCTAGATGAACGGCACAACTTTGGAGTGTTTTTGCTGACTTTGAAGAGAGAAAAATAACTTTAAAGAAAAGACGGTCGACCGCCAGATATCATCAGAAGATCATACAAAATGCTAGAAAATGCGGCTTGTACAGCTTCTCCCTCCTGTTCGATATGTTTATAGTGAAGGATGGTAGGAATACTTACGGATGGCTAGACCGCGTAAAATCCAGAAGTTCGGAGCTTCAGGATACGAAACTTTCTTCGTAAGTTGCGATCCCCTCCCCAGCGGGGATGTTAATTCGTGCGGCCCTTAGTCAGAAATGATTGGTACATACTTGCATGTACAGTTTGTATGGAATTTGAGCTTGACCAACAGGAAAATCGATGTAATGGAAAAGTGGCAAATTCCGCTCCCACTGACCCTAGACTCCTCCCACTTGCTTGAATTTCAGCAGCATGCGAGGGAGAGAGAGAGAAAGAAAGAAAGAGTGAAAGAGAGAAAAAGAGAGAGAGAAAGAGAGAAAAAGAGAGAAAGAGAGAGAAAGAGAAAAAGAGAGAGAGAGAAAGAGAGAAAGAGAGAAAGAGAGAGAAAGAGAGAGAGAGGGAAAGAGAGAGAAAGAGGGAAAGAAAGAGAGAGAGAGAGAGAGAGAGAGAGAGAGAGAGCACAGCTGCAAATTTCCGTGCTTGTACATGCATGCATTAGATTCGAAAAATAGCAGACTCAGTCTAAAAATGTCCGAAAATCTTACCAACCTGATAATCATGTATTTCTTTCCGATATGACAGGAACACCATTTGTACAGTCGGTGTCAGATCGATAAATGATTTATTGACTAACTCCATATAGCTACTCTACGAACATCGTCGCACATTTAACACCATAGGAAAATATTTGACATTGAAACTATATTATAATGATGTTATGTTATACGGCGTACCCGCTAAGGGTAAAAAATACCAGGTTGACCGCCTTGGTCACACCTCAGTTACCAATCGATTTCAAAAGTTCAGCAGAATGGATATACTTCTGGACGTGAGAGACGTCGACGGTAGCTCCTCGCACCTGTAACAAAGAGTAAAACTACGAAATTGAAGATTGGCAAATATTACAAGTTGAGGCTCAGTGTTGTGATATATGTCAGTATAGATCCCCTCCTCAGGCATCAGCGATGAAGTGTTAGCCGTTTTGACGGCCTCGTCCACTTCCTTGCGAACTTCCTAAAAAGTATTTAAGGGGAGATAGATATCCTCACTTTCAGCGCACATGTTGAAGACAAATAGTATCCTCATTTTCAGTCATATGTTAAAAGACATACAATCGCTCAGATAATCGCGGGGGGCAGGCGGCCATGGGAAATTTGAGCAAGCGGACACAGGAAAAATAGGCTGATTTCTTGCGGCCCGCTTGCAGAAATTTGGAGGAATGTTGACCAATTTTCAGACGAATGTTTGGAAAACTATCGCGGTTTTCCTATAATTAGTTGCGGCGCATTGGCCGCATTCTCGCGGATTTCGCAAGAATATGCAAAATTATTGAGGACCGCACAGTTCTCCGGCACTTTCCTTTAAGAGAAAGTACCTCAAACTTAAGTAACTGAACCATCGATGACATCCCTGCAGCACAGAGTCTCACATTTGCTCGACTTACGCGCGAAACTGCTTAAAAAGAGTCCGAGCGCCTGCTGAAAGTTTGGCCGGCGCTCGTGAGAGAGATTATTTGACGAGCGCCCGCAGATAATTCTGTATTCTGCACCGCTAGCAGGACATTCGACAGTAAAGGAGGTACCGCCTGCTGAAGGTTTGGCCACACCCCAAAATTTTGCTGGCCGCCTGCAAGGAAACGCGAGTTTGCGGACTGCCTGCCCCCCGCGATTATTTGAGCATGTCAACCGTGTGCACTGTTTTCCACCAGCCATAATCGCAACCCAGAGCTGCTGCCGCGTTCTCCTCGTATATCTTGCGCATTGAAAACTTGCCTCATCATCGGGGTCGCCGCGCTAGGCCCTTGCGGTGCGGACGCGCACCTACTACGGAAAAGGGAGCATCTGGTTGACATAACTTGTATACGCGATTCATGACACGCAAAGAGTGGGGCCGTTGCGTCTGATCAAAATAATTCGCGCATGGGAGAGACAGCAGAGGTAAGAGAAACGAAAGAGCGCTCGATCAGAGAGACACCGATAGTCTGCAGTCGTTGCGCGCTACGAACCGTCTGTTGTTTTCCCTTTATAACTCCAGTAAAACAACTCACTTTGTCGACTGCTTTCAGATCATCCTCAGACGCGAGACCGGAAGTGATAAGCCGATCCTTGAAGCCAGTGATAGGATCGCGAGTTTTGCGCACTTGTTGAATTTCTTCACGAGTGCGATAACTAAATAAGAATAGTTGCATATCAGTCATTCATTTGAAGAAGCGTTACCTGGTGCCAGGATCAGACATTGAATGGCCTGAGTATCTGTATGTAGCCAGCTCCAGCACTAGTGGTCCCTTTCCGGCATTACAGTACTCCTTGCCCCAGCGGATAGCCTCACGAACAGCAAGTACATCCATGCCGTCAACCCAGATTCCAGGAACATAATCGCCTCTGTAAATGGCATATATCTTTTGTCGTCAGAATTGAAACTTCAAAATGTTCAAAAGTACACGGTCTTGGTATCCATGATATTACAGAAGCCCGACAGCGTACATATAGGGCGCACAGCTGGCTTACTCAGCTCTTCGCGGCCCTGTCAAAATACCATGATAAAGGTCCCATAGCTATCCCTGCACCTCTCCCTGTGCCCACTTCTACAAGCCAGTTCCTATTCCCGCTGTGTTAGTGATTAGCATGCTGATGTATCTACCCTGACCCATTTACAGCGACCCGTAGGATTTGGTTGCAGAGACCACACTCTAAATTGGGTACTCCATATAGTATAGGCTGCTGCATGACGAAGGCGCAATATCTTCGCGCGCGAACGCGGCTTCATTAGACGCAGAGCGCATAAGGCGCGGAATTTGCAATGGTGAGAATACGCGCGCGTCGCGTTCGCGCCCGCTCAACTGATACCGCTTCTGCGCCTTCGTCATGCAATAGCCTTTATGTATGTGTGCATACCGTGAGCTCCCATGATATGCTTTGTATCTCCACTTGAATGCGAAATTTAAATCAATGTTATGATATGGAAATGGTGTGTGAGGTTATTCCAAGATTGTTAACAGTTTTTTATTGACGGCTAACGTTTCGGTGCTTTCGCCTTCTTCAGAGCTTGGAAGTCGAAGTTATGAGCAACCCATTCCTTCGGATGACAGGAAAAAACTCAAAATCCTCTTCGACAGAAAGCTAACGCGAACATCGTCAGAAGTACAGGACCATACTCACCTAAATGAGACAAAGCAGGAGTCAGAATACCACCTATATACAAGACTACGCCTCAGCGCTTTTATGTGCCGTGGTAACCTGACCTCATATTCAAATCCGCATAGGAACTGATAAGGCGCGAGTTCTTGGTGAAGGCAATATATTCTCCATTTCTAATCAATTTTAGTTTGGCACATTAATCCAAAACGCCTCCAACGTCTGCGAGCGAAGATCTCGGGTCATACGACAAGATTCTTACTGCAACTTGTACCTTAGAAATGTTATGACGCTCTATACGGTGTTTTCCTAACGGCGTAGCTGCTCCTAACTTTTCCGTTCTAATACATGCTCTTTTACGCGACAACAAAGCGGGCGCCCTTTTCGCCAATGTATGTCTCTCCGCATACAAGGCATGTTATAATATAAATGACCCCGAACTGCATACAATCACCTTCTTTACCAAATGGGCAGACCACACAATTAGGAGTAAAGCAAGTACGATCATAAGCGCGGTTTCGAACAAGTTTCCGTTTGAGATTAGCTGAAGGGATATCGACCACTTTTAGCACGCCTTGCAGACCTGCGCGTTGTACGCAGCTCCTCACGCACTGCTTTACGCATCAGATATGAACGGCAGGCAGAAGGGGTTCTCAGCGGTACTGCCTGGACCACGAGCTCCACCCCGACACGGCGGGCTCCAAGGACGTCCAACGACATGTTCACGCACAGCATAGTCGTTGGACGCCGCAATTTCTTGAGCCAAGGTGATGGAAGAGGGTTCGTCGCTGCCGGAGGACATGCGTAGAGCTGTTTTACGCATGTTAGCTACAATAGATCCCTTAATACTGCTTGGATGTGCAGACAGAGGAATATTTTTACTACTGGGCTTACGATACCATTTGGATTTATATCCCCCACCCTTGATATGAATCTGCACATTTAGAAACGCTAGCCACCCTTCAGTGGGTTTTACCCTGGTAAATGCGATGTTGGGCGACTGTTGATTTAGGATGTTGAAGCAGGTGTCTACCTCGGTTTGCGTGGGGCATATGATGCAACAATCATCGATATACCGGCCACAAAGCAGGGGTTTAGTTCAAGCACTGGCGCCTTATCAGTCCCTATGCGGATTAATATAAGGTCAGGTCATCACGGCACATATAAGAGCTGAGGCCCAGTCTTGTATTTACTCAGACAATCGCCGGGGGCAGGCGGGCGCCAGAAAATACGCGTTGCTGAAATTTCGCATTCCGCTTGCAAATTTCAGGTAAATAGTCAGCGAGTTTTTGAGAGACCGCCTGTTAGATTTTTTTTCGCTCTTATCTTTTGCAGATATATTGCTGAATCTCTGAGGCATCGAGAACTCAGCAGGCGGCCTTCCGAAAAGTCCTGATTGCTTTCTAAAAAATTCGCAAGCGGGGTACAAGAAATCAGCCATCTATTTTTCCGGTGCCCGCCTGCCCCCGGCGATTCTGAGTAGATGGTCTTCTGACTCCCGCTTTGTGTTATTTAAAGGCAGCGTCCAGGCAAGTCTGGACACATGGGAATCTCACGTAGATAATAATTTTGGGGCCCTAACCTAGCCACTGCCCAAGCGGCAGCTCAGGTAGTGCTCTAACGGCTGAGATATTCCCCTCGCTAGACCCCGCGATCGTATTTCGCATGGATTCATGGCGCAAAGCGTGGATTGGCGCGAATCTGCCATGAATCCATGCGAATACGATCGCGGGGTCCAGTTTCGAGGGGAATATCTCAGTCGTTAGAGCATTACCTGCGCTGCCGCTTGGGCAGTGCCTTAGCTAGGGCCCCAAAGTACTTTCCACGTAAAATCCTTACAGTGTGGTCTTTGTACTTCTGACGATGTTTCGCGTTAGCTTTCTCTCTAAGAGCATTCTGAGTCTTTCCTTGTCATCTGAACGAATGGGTGCTAACTTCAACTTCCAGGCTCTGAAGAAGGCAAAAGCGCCGCAACGTTAAAGGCAGTGGGTCGCCAGAATGAGATCCGTGGCAAAACAAAGTCACAGGGTAGGAGCAAAGTTCGATCTTTCTCTGCCACTTCTAACCCCCGAAATTGCAAAGCGAAAGCAGCGCTCATCTCCTGTCCTCTCCGAACCCGCCCACCCCATGGACGAGTGACTTCCGCGGTCAGAGCGCCAGCCGCAATGCTATACGCATGAGGTCCCGCAACGACTCTGCGTCTTCGCCATGACGGGCTTCTTGCGTTCACTCGTCCATGGGGTGGGCGGGTTCGGAGAGGAGATGAGCGCTGCTTTCGCTTTGAAATTTGGGGTGTTAGAAGAGGCAGAGAAAGATCGAACTTTGGCCCATAGGTCCCACTATGGGGGCTCCTACTCTGTGACCTTGTCTTGCCACGGGTCTCATTCTGCCGACCTACTGCCTTTAACCGCCAATAAAGAACTGTTGACAATCTTGAAATAACGCTCACACATCATTTCCACGACTACCAAGAATGCCAAGATTCAAAACCGATCAAAAATGGGTAATGTTATGATAAACAGACAGGAGCTGTGGCGACACCAAACTTAACCACATGTACAATGATGATGTTTACAACCACATATCTTAGCTAGGTATGTGGTTGCAAAGCATAGCTTGGTAACCCAATCAGTCTCCACGAGAAAATGGGGTAGCAAAACTACACTAACTGCTCACCTCATGTAGTAATCTGTTGACGCAGAAGCCCGCTCAGCCTGTGTTCCCATCCCAAATCCATTGTTTTCGCACACATATATGACAGGAAGACTCCACAACATTGCCATGTTGGTCGACTCGTAGAACTGGCCTTGATTAGCAGCTCCATCACCATATAACGTTAGACAGACGTTCTTTTGCTTTCTAAAATTCGAGAACTGAATGCTCCGAATAAATAACAATTTCAGCTGAAAAAACTACCTGTACTTGATAGCGAATGCAATTCCTGTTCCAATAGGTTGCTGAGCTCCTACGATGCCGTTTCCACCAAAGAAATCCTTTTGATACATATGCATGGAACCACCTTTACCGTGGACATTACCATTGATCTTGCCTCAATAAATAGTATTCAGTAAATGAATGCTGCGTTAAACATTGCAGTTCATGAACAACTATTGCTCGAGCATGTCATTAAGTATTAAAAATAGCTATGAACACCCCAACGACTATCCAGCGAGGAACTGTAAACACCGCCCTTTATCACATTCACGACAGGGCCGATTTTTCGCTGACTGCCATTTCGGACCAGAGCATATTTCGCAAAACTGAGTTTGCGGAATATTTTCAGGTCATTGATGGGCCCTATGATCTGAAGTGTTAATCTTTTGGGAAGTACTCCAAGAGGTGTATGCAGAAGTTTACTCGGCTTGTATAAAAAGTTTCACCGTGAACTAGCAAAATCAAAAACTTCAGAAAGCATACGACCCACCGGTGGGTCGTATTGTCCGAAGTGGCTGAACACATACGACCCACCGGTGGGTCGTATTGTCGTGAATGTGTTATACCTTTTTCAGCTACGATTGGGACTGCTCCTCTTCATCATGTTTTTGAAGAACTTCAGCGGCATTCGTTGAAGTGAATAAATAGACAAAACCGAAGGTAAAGACTCAATCGCTGGAACTTCAAAATGGATGCACCCATGACAATGGCCTGATTACATTACTGTCATATAAGCTAGTAGATCTCGCTGTAGATAGAGGACTCTTGCGCTGCCGACATTTGCACGTGAACATTAGCAGTGTGCGCTCTAGGAACATTTTCTACACACAAGCAAGTTCCTGGCATTCGTAGGCAGGGCATATGATTCCAGGCAAATGTCGTCCGCAATGCATGAATACCACATCTGCAGTCAAATCTACTAGCATTGATTATTCAGTGAAACTAGACAATGCCGGAGTCCTCGCACAAATATGTCCACTTTTTTCACTCATAAATAGTCTTGCAATCGTTCATTAGCAAGCCTAATCCCCAAAGCCGCCACCGTAAAAACTTAATCATAGCGCATTAATAAAGTCCTTGAAATCTCTACTCCGCCTGTCCCCGAAGTTGCTACAAGCTGTTTATGTACAAGAAGCTTATAAGGAGAAATATCTGCGGAGAGAGATTGCATTTTGGTGGAGACTGTCGCAGCACTCACCGGTAAGTTCGGACAGGACTTCTGCCACAGTGGCGCCCTGTAGGTACGTCCAACCGTGACAACGATAGGCAGTTATGACCGCATCCCCTTCAGTAAGTGCAGCACGGGCTCCAACTGCACAAGCTTCCTAAAAGTCAGTAACTTCAGAAACCGCTATTTGCCTGACTTGCACGTTTGAATAATCAAAACTATGTACTCAATAGAAAGTGAAAGGTGTTTGATTCGTCGGATATAAAACAAAAATTTGAAAGTCCCTCTCCCGGACTTCTTTGCCAGAAAACATCTTCATTAAGATGGAACGAACTAACACTGTCGAAAAATTCACCTGGCCAGAATAAAGATGACAAAAACCACGAATCTTCTTTTCCTTGTATAAATTACTTGCAGCAGCCTCCATACGACGAATGGTCTAAAAATCATTCAATATAATCATCGAAAACATGTATATACCATCTGATTGTTGAGATTTCTCTTGCTCGAATGTCTTTTTCCGACACTGGGGACCATCCCGTACAGCTGGTTCAACATACGCACTCTTGAGCGAATCGCCGGCCCCGTGTGTAGGTCCTTATGAACCTGCCCCAATTGCGACGGCTATAAGAGGTCAGCGTTAATTAGAGGTCACTCCACGATTGGCTAGCTCGCGGGAGCGAGCGGCTGACCTGGGCAGACGCGCTGCGAAGGCGGACGAGTTTCACATCGCTGGTAACCTACTCAACAATGAGATTTTTGAGGTAACTCTCTAGAAAAATTCCCTAAATTCCCCAAATTCCCTAGAATTCAATTACTTAAAGGCAGCGTCCAGGCAGATCTGGACCTATGGGGCTTTTACGTGGAAAGTACTTTTGGGGCCCTAACTAAGGCCCCAAGTGGCAACTCAGATAGTGCTCTAATGGCTGAGATATTCCCCTCGAAACTGGCTCCCGCGAACGTATTCGTATGGATTCATGGCAGTTTCGTGCCAGGATCCACGCTTTGCGCCATGAATCCATGCGAAACACGGTCGCGGGGGCCAGTTTCGAGGGGAATATCTCAGCCACAGCACTACCTGAGCTGCCGCTTGGGCAGTGCCTTAGTTAGGGCCCCAAAAGTACTTTACACGTAAGAGCCCCATAGGTCCAAATCTGCTTGGACGCTGCCTTTAAGTTATTCGCTCTACTCCACACTACTTGAAACCCCAGCCACTTTCTAAGGTGGTATGTTTTTGACCTATGAGACATTTTCAATGTCTTTTTCGACTTATTTTACTGTTTTTTTAGTTCGATTGAAATGTCAGAAGGAAATACGCATTTGATGACGAACAGCGTAGATCACCTCAAGTTATAATTGGCCTTTATAAAGAGTTGTTACACAAACTTTGATTACGTGAGCTTTCCTCAATAACATCAAGCAGCTCACATTAGCAATAAGATGTGACGATGCACGACGTTATAAGGATCGCCCACACAAGGGATATAAGTAAAAAAGAAGCAAAAAAAAGAAAGTTCGAAAGATTCAAGGGAGATTCATGAGTTTTTTATGAATCATGGAAATGAAAAGACTTCGAAAATGTCCCATAAATCATAGACATACCTGCTGGGGAGTAGGGCTCAGAATACCAAACACTCAGAGGATGGTAGCTGTGTTTGGTTAAAATCAGCGTGATTGGCTTGCATTCCATAATGCAAGAGCCGCACGAAAGGAGTTGGTGATTTTCGAAAATACGAGTCCTTTGCGGAGCACTCGTCCGCAGTCATCGCAGCGCATGCGCGCGCGTCCTAGTTCTAGATTACTGTAGGGGACGGTGGGTTCGGAAGGGCCGTCTCCCCCGGCCCCTCTTCATTACAGTAGAACCACGGTAGCGTATGGCACCACTGTGCGATATCTGCCGTCTCAGAAGAAAAAAGTAAAATTGGGTAGCAGGGTCCACATGCACGCTGCTTTTACTAGCTACAGTCAAATCATTTCATATGATCATGTATGTCACTGCACACACTATCCACCTTTGGCGTCCTCATCCTGGATTCTAGGAACAAGCGCCCTTTTGCTAAGTGTTTTTGATGTGTTCGTCATGGTTTTTCTCCTTTTTAAGTACCAATCTTTACAAAGTGATGTAAGCGATAAGAATCGGTTGGTCTCTTGCGTTCTTGCGTTTGCTATTCCAGGATGGGGACGCCAAAGGTGGACAGTGTGTGCAGTGACACACATGATCATATATGATTCGACTGTAACTTCTAAAACATGTACAAAGCTTTCAAATGGGGTAATCGTTCAAAAGAACACCGGTAAAACATTACGAACTACAGGGATCTTCTTATATATGAAACTGCTTGCCTGTTTGTTTGTATGTATGTCTGCGCGTATGGCCTAGTGGAAAATTAAATTTCTGAACGGATGCGGACCAAATTCTGTATATTTCGAAGGGGAGAATCGCAGGCTACTTTTCATTATCAATCGATACCGATTTTATCGATTCTTTGCAAAATTTGAGCTACGAGGCTAAGAGTTTACATGAGGGAATAAGTGAGTATGCTGATAACGAGCAAAATAGTAGCTTCCAAGATTATCGATATCTTTACAGGGAAGGGGGAGAGAGGTGAGCATCTAATTACGAATATAATAACCGTCTAGATAGTATTCATTATTATCGATTTCATCAAATTTTTGCAAAATTTGATCTATAGTAAGTTTCGACCCGCTTTCGGCGGAAATTGGATTGGCGGGCGTCCGCCTCGCACGGTTCGCGCCGTTTCGCAGCTACAGTATATCATATCGCGCTGTGAACCCAAGTCTGCGTCTCTTCATTCTCCTTAGTCTTTGCTTGGCAAAATGCCAGCGCCATGCGCTCGCGAAGCCTCCAGCGATGCGCACGCGCTGCTCCACGTAGAATGTTTCGCCTAATCAGGGGTGAAATCGACTGTACTAGACTCGGATTTCAGACAGTGGGGTAAGTGAGCCTGCTGATTACGGAGACACGGAGCAGAGTGCTGCCAGACAGAACTGGGACAGAGACAGCAAAATTTTGTGTAGAATAAGAAAGACTGATGAGTTCCATAAGTTGCGGCATTTCAGTTTATTATATGATGTTATGTTGACAGGAGGCAGGCGAAGGGTATCCCGGTTGTAGCTATAAAGTAGCACTACGAAAAGCGCAAATATCATGTATAGAGTTAGCAACTCTGCAACTCTGCAATTGCAGCAAGTGAAAAGGATTTCAAGCGGTTTCATTTGTAAAACAAAACAGGGCCCTTAAAGTCTAACGCTCGTCTAAAATCCTACAGCGATCTTACAGTAATGAAGAGCAATGGGATCCGTCCCAAGCTGTAAAATCGAACCAGAAGCTCTGTAAAATAACACTCAACGATGGGTCAAAGACATCGTACAACTAAACAGTGTGCACGTACTTTTGAACCCCGTGTATAAATGAAGATAACAGTCCAAAGTTACCTGCATTTTTCTGTAAAAATCTAAAGCGTCATTGCGATTCAATGTTACGGTCTCGTTCGGACCTTGGTCGAGTTTGTGCAGTTTGTAACCCTAAAGATCAGCACAGGTGGAAGTATAAATGCAGTATGATGGAGTAAGAATTACTAGTATCACAGACTTACAAATAATAGAGAAACAAGTTCGAACAAAACTGATGCGTTACCTTGGTATGGAATGTTACGTCTCCATCACTGGCCATTCGACGTTGCGATGATATGATCGCTGCCGTCAAGACCGGAGCAGGTGCCTATAATTTTGGACCGAACCAGATTAACGTTAGTGGATAGCATGATGATTGATTCACCTTGAATGACTTCACTAGCAGAGACATTGCTTGAATTATGCGGGTACGAAGACCGTTCCAGACAAACAGGATCAATTAGCCCTACTATTTCATCATAAACTCCAGGAGTCACGCTAATTGTAGCTTGGTCGTACGCGCAAAGGTACATCGATCCAAACGAGTCAGTAAAAAAAAAGTCAGGTAACAGAATATTTATTCAAGAACAACAATTATTGTGGGCATAACCAAGGAGTGCACGAGCACACTGCCAGAATCAGTACTCTGGTCTCGATTCGAATGGACTAGCAGACAAAGTCCTGCTAGAGTTATGCAAGAAATATGATATTTATGTGGACGTGACTTGGCTAGGCAACTTTGGAACAATCTTTTCACAAATTTATGTCTTCAGGCAAGAGAACAGAATCGAGCTCAAGGTCATGCTACATAACTCTTTTGCAGGTGTGTGTCTCAATGTATGTATGATAGATGTATTATACAGCTACAATACCGTCGAAAAATAACATCCAATCAGAATTTCAGTATATTTACCAGTTGCAAAGATTCGATAGACTGCAATAATAGTAGCTACTGCAGCGTTCTTGCCACTACACAAGAGTGGGTAAACAGGTAGAAGCGAAGGACCACAGAAGTTAAGTTTTGGTCAGCGTAGTCACGCCCACAATGCAAGCTAATCACACTTTATACACAATCCAGAATTGCAAAAAAAAAAACGACATACAGGAACACTGCAGCTATTCTGGTCGATACTGGTATAGAATAAATCTAACCAATGCTGGTTAGAGAAGGTAGCGCGAACAAAGACTGAAGAAGAAAGCATAAACTGTTTGTGCTCACGTAGCGTAGATGAGGTGCTCAAGTAGCAACTGATGCAGAGTTTGCCATGAGCAGGAAATTTTTACATCGGTTATCAGAACCAGGAAATGCAGGATAGTCAGTATAAACGAGTAATGCAAACCGGTTAAGAATGAAGCATCATCTTATCTGCCAAGCTTTTCCTTCACCCAGCTACGAATACGCTGCCGCAGCTCGGGAACTGAAATGAGGCCGATCGATAGCTGAGTGCAAACATTGAATTCAAGTTTTGAGGTGCAGTGCTTTGAGATCATGATGATTAAACGGAGTAGCATCAAAGCTGTTGCCCGCTAAAGGGCTTCCCGCTCAGGGTGAGAAGAAAACTCAGACACATCTTCGGAAAAAAAAGAAAAAAATGGAGAGGATAAAAATTCAATGAAGCATCAAAAATTAGATGGATTTGTTCATATTTACTCTGGAAAATGTTTTCGCAACTAACCTTTGTCTTGCTTATGTCCTTATTACTGAACGCCACTTCAAAACTGTGATTGCTTTTGAGATTATCGCAAAAAAAAAACTAGCTTCTCCGGATTTTCCCCTAGTTCTGATAGGGGTTCTCTGCGAAACCTGCGATACCAAAAGAATAAATTCTGAAACTTATTGCCGCGTTCTAACCAGCTTTCAACCGTTTCTTCTGAGCTGCACTCGAATCATTTCATATGATCATGTGTGGAGAGGCGGAAGATGTATAGCAACCCAACGGCTGGTTTCGCAATAGAGCGCGAATTACGATTGGAGCAGGGTTCTCTTTTCAGCCCTTCATAAGCATCCAAATTGTGTATATTGGAGGTTCAACAAAGAGACAAATGAGTAAATTCAGTTTATTCAATTCCAAGGATTCCAGAAACTCCTCCACCTTAAAGGTTGAGCATAACATCTGCTATTGAGGACATATAAATCTCTCTCGAACCTGGTCAGAGTTAAGAGCCGATACCTTCTGTCAAGCTCACGAGGTTTATGATAATACTAAACAAGGTTTCAATCCAGTCTGATTTTCGTGCATTATCAGCAACTTCACATGTAGAGTTGGAGGCGGGGAGAGCAGTGGTCAGAAGCCAAAACCATCTCTGATAATCTCATCGTCCAGATACATCATTAAAAAACACTAAGAAAGAACCATGTCTAAGAAAAAACAGTGTCTTTTATGATGGGCGCTTGTTATGCAGACCATCGGATGACTGCAATCAGCCAAAAGTATCTATCCCTTTGTCTAATGTTCCAGTTGTTCCAATTTGCTCCACTTTCGGAAACAGATGTGATGGTAGCGACTATAAGCTAACGATTGCGCAAATTTCACTCTGTTAGCTTATTCATGAACAGCGTTTTGCACATATTCTCTTCATTGATTCACTTGTCACCCAATTAATGTGTTTTCGTTGTAAACGGGAATCTTTATCGACTATGAAGATTCTAAGTTATAGCTTCGTTTCGGTATTCTTCATTTCTTAATGATTACGAGATTATCAGGCTTCCAGAGTTGCTAGTAAGCTCCTTTTCGCACCACAGAGATACAACCTCTCATTAAACGTTGTGCAAGGCCTTACCATATTGTGTTTTTGATTCATAAAGCTCACAGAAGTTGTTAATATATTTCAAGCAGTAAAAAATACATGCCGATAATCATTGTACAGCAGAAATCATCATCAATCATGACGGGAAGTCCCGCGAGGTTCAGTGCTGCTTGACTGTGGCAATCACAGTATACCTATCGTATTCACCTGTCATATCCAGTTATGCTTTGTGGTGCCTACATTTACACACTTATAAAAGTTGCATAGAATGTGCGCTGTTTCTCATGTTTGGATTCGTTTACAAATTAACTCTGAAGCGATTTAGTCGAAAGGATGACTGAAAAGGTTGTATAGCAATATTTGCTAGAATCAATCACTTTTTGCTGCCTGTCTGTTCTGAGATACAGTCTGCTTCAATCGGGATCAGGCTGAACTGTCGGCTTAGATTTGCGCGCCCACAGCACTAGCGATCTGCGCTGCATACATATTCGCGCTGTCGGAGAGAGCAGAAGGATTGAGAAGGGAGCAGAGAAGGAAGCAGGCCGTGGGCGTGACCGCGAATCATAAGTGACGCGGACTCCCGCCATGCCAATTTTGGCCTGGTTAGGATTGGGGCAGACTGTATCAACACTGAGGTTGTTGAAAGAAGCAAACGATGACAAAGTTGGTCTTTAGCCATTAGAGACGCTTGTACCGCTTTCAAAAGTTTGTTCAGACCAGGGAGAGAGTTAGACAAGTTCATTCGGTATCTTATACTCACTACCACAACATGTTTTTAAAACTGAAGCAAATTCGAAAAACTGAAACATTTGGCAGAAAGATACCTTTGGCTGGTTACAGTCACTCGATTGGTCTGCGTAACTAGCATCCATCATAAGGGGTTGTTGTTTTTCTTATATATTGTTTTTCTTACATGTTTTTTTGTAGTCGATGTATATAGACGATGAGACTATCATCGATGGTTTTGACTTCTGAGCATTGCTCTCCGCGCTTCCACTTCTATATGGATAGCAGCTGATGACCACGGAAATCAGGCCAGATTGAGGCCTTCTGTGGAATCATCGTAAACGTCGTAGGCTTGTCATACTGGGAAAAATCGGCTCTCAAGTTCGTTTAAAATGAATTAACTCGCTTGTCTGTTTGTTGAACCTCCATTCATACACAATTTGGATGCTCGTGAAGGATTGAGAAGAGAACTTTGCTCCAATCATAATTCGCGCTCTATTGCGAAATCAGCCATTGGGTTTAGATCTTCCGTCTCTCTCATACCCTCGATATCATCCCATATGTCTTCCCTCAGCATGACGTGGATTACGTGGCTTGATGAGGCGCCGCCTCGCCTCGGCCTCGCGCCACGTTGCGAGCGCATCATTTGGCGCGACGTGGCGCTCAACACAACGTGGCGCAGGCTTTTCCACGTTCTTCTTGTTGCCACATCACGCCGAAGATGCGCACGCAAACGTGGCGCGAGCCCGAGGCGAGGCGGCGCCTCATCAAGCCACGTAATCCACGTCATGTTGAGGGAAGACATATGGGATGATATCGAGGGTATGTGTCCTTGCGGGTGTAGGCCCTTTTGAACCTGCCCCAATCGCGACGGCTATAAGAGGTCAGCGCTAATTAGAGGTCACTCCACGATTGGCTAGCTCGCGGGAGCGAGCGGCTGACCTGGGCAGACGCGCTGCGGAGGCGGACGAGTTTCACGCTGGTAACCTACTCCACAATGAGATCCTGGAGGTAATTCTCTAGAAAATTCCTAAATTCCTCAAATTCCCTGGAATTCAATAACTTAATTATTCGCTCTACTCCACACTTCTTGAATCGTCGGCCACTTTCTAAGGTGGTATGTTTTTGATCTATGAGACATTTTCAATGTCTTTTTCGACTTATTTTACTGTTTTTTTAGTTCGATTGCATGCTCTACTCTCCTACGTCTGCCTCCTTGCAGCATCATCTAGTCACATTCAATTGAAATGTGCACTACATGCATGCCAGTAGGGAAGCATACGTTTTTTTATGATGAGTATGAAGTTTTTTTACACCGTCCATATCAAAAACAATCAAATAAAATGCATCACCTTCATTTGGTAGCGTGATCTACATGAATTGATTTTGGTAGCGAACTTTTCTTTGCTGCACGCATATGCTCTTTATATCGTAAAAATTTCAAATGCACGTTCGTAAACTTTACTAGAATGAGAATTTTGAGGAGATGATAATTTCTTTGGGAAAGCTACAGAGCTGCACTGAAATGTCAGAAGGAAATACGCATCTGATAACGAATTAGCGTAGATCACCAATTTAAGTTATAATTGTTGTCTTTATAAAGAGTTGTTACATAAACTTTGATTACGTGGGCTTTCCTCAATAACATCAAGCAGCTCACATTAGCAATATGATGTGACGATGCACGACGTTATAAGGATCGCACACACACAAGGGATTTGAGTGGAAAAAAAGTAAGAAAAAACAAAGTCCCGAAAGAATCAAAGGAGATTCATAAGAAGTTTTTTTTTATGAATCATGTAAATGAAAAGACTTCGAAAATGTCTCACAATCCATAAACATACCTGCTGGGAAGTAGGGCTCAGAATACCAGACATTCGAGGATGGTAGCTGTGTTTGGTTGAAGGGCAGCATGACTGGCTTGCATTCCACAATGCAAGAGCCGCACGAAAAGAGTTGGTGATTTTCGAAAATACGAGCCCTTCGCGGAGCACTCGTCCGCAGTCACCGCAGCGCATGCGCGCGCGTCCTAGTGCTAGATTACTGTAGGAGACGGTGGGTTCAGAAGGGCCGTCTCCCGTCCTTGCACACACTATCCACCCCTTTGGCGTTCCCATCCTTGGATTCTTATTGTTAGAGCAGATAACTCCTCAGGTAAGTTTTTACGATGTATTCTTGATGTTTTCTTTCCCTCTGAGGTACTAATCACTTCAATTTGATGTGAGCAATATTATTCGGTCGGTCTCTTGCGGTTTTGCGTTCGCAAATCCAGGATGAGGATGCCAAGATGGGCGGTGTGTGCAGTGCACACATGATCATATGAGATGATTCGACTGTACATAGCAGCTCAATTTTTGGCCAACAAACCAGGAGCTTTTGTGATGCTGCCAATGAAATTGTTAGATCTCTTTTCCTTCCTTGACTTTCTCACCATCACTTTTCATGAGGGGGGGGGGAGGGGACATACGGTAACCACACGGCGCTCAAACGGCTGGATTCGCCATAGAGCGCGAATGGTGATTAGAGCGAATTTCCTCACTTGACTTCAGTTTGCTCTTTTGAGGATAAGACTAGCGGCCCAATGGCTAGCAGGTGTGAGAAATGTTGTATTGAGTCACCGAAGCCTCCTATAACACTTTAATGCCGTAAAAGCTAATAAACTCGTCCAGAGGTGTTTTGTTTGAAAAGTTCTGCTGGGAAGGCATGGTGCGCATATAGCCTATTTACAGGTGTATAAGCCGCACCCTTTTCGCTTTGAAGGCGAACACGCCAAAAGACTGACTGTCATCATGGGGCGCGTTAAGTGAGAGCAGTATGCGATGAGACGACCGCTTCGCGAGACATATGCGCGGCGGCACGCCTGGATCTGCTCGCGTTTAGAGCAAAAAGGGTGCGGCTTTTACACCTAGTACGACTGCTTGCAGAAGAACGTTTGGAGTCAAGA